ATTGGCTCGGAGCTATGGCCATGGCTGCATTGGCTCGACCACCCTTTGTTTTTGGTACTGACATTTTGTCTGCCGATATCTTAACTGCGTACCAAAAAATTTGGAAGAGTTCTCATGGTTTAATTTGTTATGTGTATTCTTCTCGAGTGTAAAACCCTTTTAATTTTAATTTATAGAAATTTATGGACTTTGTAAAATAATTTTTTCTTTCATTTAACACCTATTTAATACTTACATTTCTATAATAAAAGTTCATAAAATCTATAAATTAAAATTATGTGAACAATTAATAATTTAAAATTCCTCAAATTGCACAATCCAAGTAGGAAAAAGCCTTCAAACAAAAGTGAGTTATTTTTTTTTTGGAAAGTATTAACTTGGATTCTCTTCTTTAACCTTTTGCGTAAAGAATCTTGTGCATGTTATAATGCCACAGCCATCTTCGACAACTTTGGAATGGAAATCAAAGTGCTTTGTCTTCTATGTTTAAAGAAAATAATTAGTTATCCTTTTTCTTTTTCCTCGGGGAATTATATTTAAGCACCTATTTTAGCTTTGCTCCGTGTTCATAGGCACGTCTTAGTTGGTGTGAGTTGTAACTTGTACTTTGATTCGATTCTCCCTCACTGACTTCGCATTATGAGGTCGACGTTGAGACGTGTTCTGCACAAGGTTTTTTTTTTCTGCTCTTAATTAGCTTTTGGATTTGGTGTTTATTGCTTTATTTGTTATATTTCTCAGCTACCCTTCTCTTTTCAGTTCATTTGAGATTTGTTCAAATTGACCGAATGTGATTGACCGGTTTTATTTTATTTTTTTATATTATCCTTTTACTCATGGTGAATAAAATTATCTTTTCATACCAAAAAAAAAAGCACCTTTTACCGTAATATATAAATATCCTATTTTTTGTCATTAGCGAGATTCAAGATTAAAATGTTTGGCAATCTAATTTACTTAACAATGCTCTTTTATTTCAGCAATTTTCAAATTTAAAGAAAATTGTTCTAAGTCAGTCCGTCCAAACATGCCATAGCATGTTAGCCCCAAGCCTTGAAAGCTTAGGCATAGATGGTAATGTGAATCTGAATCAAATTCCTTCTTCAACAATAGTGAGACATAACTTGATCACGCAACTATTCAAACTACTTCAATCATTTTATTCTTGTTTTGTGTGTTTATATATATGTATATGTGTGTGTGTTTGTTGGTGCGCGCGCGCATAATTTTCTAGGGACAGTAGAGGATCGAATTCAAGTTCGTTATTGATGGCTTTTGCTTGCGCACTCGTTTTCGCTAGTAAATAATATTTTTCTTGAAAAATGAATAAAAAATTTTAAGAGTTGTGGGCCATCCTATCCTAACTTTTTGCCCCCAAAAGCCATTTGTCAATACATAAAACGACTTCGGCCAAAAAAAAAAACATAAAACGACAATATGCTGGTAAAAAAAAAAACATAAAACGACCATAAAGTGACAATAACCCTTAAAACCAGGGACGAGCTGACCTATTGGCCGCAGGAATATGATTGGTAGTTAATAAGAAAGTAATAGTTCCTTAATTTTCTTTCTTGAGATAGAGAGAGAACCTCAAAGTGTGGTACAAGCTACAAATTTATGATAGTTATTCCCCAAATTTATGATAGTTATTCCCCTTGAAAACCAACTTCCATAAATTCTGCTTCTTTTATTAATAAAGGTGCAGATTTTTTTAAACAAATTTAGCTGTATAATAATTTTTTAAGATGTATGAAAATATTCCAAACACTTTACACAATAAACGTGGTTCTGTGCTGTGTATATTATTAAATTTTATTCCATTAGGATAAATTCTATCTCTGGGATGAAAATCATTGTAGCCAAAACCCCAACAAGAGCCAAGTTTCATAAGGGTTAAGGTTCCCCCCCCCCCTTTTATTCTCACTCCTTATTTCTAATTGCTTTTGTGGTTTTGCCTGGCCCAACTTGGTTTGGCGAATTACGCCAATAAATCAACAAACCAATTTTTTGGCTAGTATAGTTAAAAATTTTGGATCGATTAAGCTAGAAAATTATATAAACACACACACACACACACACACTTTTATTATTAAATTTAAAACCACGTCGTTTTGAGTGAAAAAATAGAAGTTGATCATATTTATGCTTTATTGAATTTTTTTTTGTTGAATTATGTATGCTTTATATATGAATATTCTAATTACTTGCAAATTAATGTTCTTTTATTTAAATATTATCTATTTCAAAGTTGTATGCATAAATATTTTTATATATTTTTAATTAAATTATATTATTTTAAATGAGTGGCCCCATTTCATATTGATCTCAGTTCAAATCAATATATTTGCCTTTTGCCTTCTCATGTATTTGAACTTTGAAGTATTTTGAAAAAGACACAAAATGCCCACATATTCAATGAAGTATTTGTTAACCCAACGGCTGGTATGATAGCGGAGGTAAGAGGTAAAGAATTCCAAAAAGTAATTAAAATCCATTTCCGTCAAAAAGCTTTTCCATTAAAAATATATGCCTAAAAATAGACAATTTATTTTTTCAATTAAAAAAACATATACTAGCTCAGTTTTTAATATAAGAGCTAATTTGACATTTAATTTAATCTTAAATATAATATTTCAATCTATTTTATCTCTCAAATTTATATTTTTTTTAAAAAATGATTCATATCAAGAGAATTTTCTATCACTTAAGTAATATCCCATGCAAATGACAAATAAGCAAGTCATTTAGATAAACAACATATTCTTCTATAAAAAATAAACTTATATAATTTTTTAAATATTTATAAATTTAATTTGAGTTAATATGATTTTTTTTATCCTTAAAATTTGAGTCCATTTTAATTTTAGTCCCTTAAATTTCAATTCTATGATTTAAGTCGTTGAAATTTACGCTATCTTAAAATGTTAGTCCTAAAATGTGTAACATTGTTAAAATCTCTCCTGAATTATTGTGCACAGTGTTAAAGTGATGATATAAAATCACTAGATAACATCTAATTGGATTTTGTATGGATAATTAAAAAAAAAAAAAAGCAAACAGGTGCTCAAAATGTAATACAAAGAATGATTGTATAGAAAGAGATGAGTTCTCAAAATACAGCATAGCGAACAATTCCTTAAACAAAAAACGAGGAAAAAAAAGAGGCTAAACAACTATGTTTTGAAAAAATGTCCTTTTTTTTTTATCCTTTATCCCTAGACAATTCATATAGGTGTTATTTAATGAGTCTACATCATCACTTTAATGTTATATACGACAATTTTGCAAATTTTAAATATCATCATATTTCTTGGAACTCACATTTTAAGATAACGAAAATTATGTATTTAAAATTTAAGAGATCTAAGCTAAAATTATGTATTATATTAGCCCATTTAATTTTTATATTAAAAATTCAAGGGAATAATTTTTATGAACTTTTTGTAAAGATGTTCAACTTGTAAGATTACGCAGCCATGCAACACAGCAACGCCATCGACATGTGAGCTTCCCGAAAACTGGAAAAAGAGCCTCTGAAACACAGAAAAATACATGTGAGTGAGTCATTTGATGATCTCTGAGTCTCAACTGAAGAGCTTGTTTCAAAGCAAGTCCGCAAGTTCTGAAGCTACCATTTTGTGAGAGCTATTTCTTTCAAATTTTTTCAAACGAAATAAAAGGTTGGTTTATTTATTATGCTACATCGCATTCTTAATATAATATTAAGTTAGATTAAAAGTTTACTAAATTATTTATATTTATCATTTTTTATTTAATTTATTTTATTTATAAAATTACTATATAATTTAATAATATATCTAAATATTTTAAAGAGATTATGTAATACATATTATAACTAAGTGATTTAATAATTTTTTTAAAATAAATCTAGTAGTTTTTATACCAATATTATAAAAGCATTGTTTGCGTAAAAAGGCATTGATATAAACTAAGAGAGCATATTCTCCTTTTTTTTCCCCATAATCTATTTTCTTGATCCCATGGATCTCCAGTTTTGCCAGTATTTTCCTAGTATCGGTGTTAATCCTAGAAAACTTAATTATATTCAATTATTAATTATTCGTTAAATTTGCTTGAAGAGGAGGAAGTCTGCAGAGCTCGAAGCTGATATTTTTGTTAGGATAAATTTAGCATTAAGCACTTGTTAGTTTCTGTAACAGATTCTAGAAGTAATTACAGCTGTCATTTATGACTTAGCTATAATTTAATTACCACTGGTATGTTGATCAATAAGTCCATACATATAAAGCAAGGGCCTCAATATGTGTGAAGTCACTGAGCCTACATTCAGTTCATAATATCCTCTATATTCTTCACTATACTATCCATTAATTCTTTTCTTTTTCTCTTCCACTTGTTTCATCCTATTAAAATATACTGTTTTGTAAGCATTTCCCTAAAATTTTCACTGTTTTCTTCTAACGGGACAAATTCTGCAGAAAAACTTGTCAATTTCTTCTTTCTTCTAGTGTTGATAATCTCGTCCCCAGCTACCTTACTTGCTGAAGGTTGAAGCTAGAAACTGCTATCACAACCATTGCTTCAATGCTCCAAAAAGCTTTATTGATCCTATTGGGAGTATCAATTTCCAAAGCTATCAGACTCATCTCTCATTCGTGTAACGGTAATCAACCTGCTGCTATTGATGCTAGGTGGCTAGCTCCTTCTAAATAACCTCACACTCTCCATTTTATTGTTTGATTTGCTCTTACAAATATAACCAAATATCTGTCCATTGTTTCTTTCTTTCTGTAGTTCTGAAGATGAAGTTATTTTGACTCAAACGGATTCTCCTCCTGCTACCAAGTATGATGTGCTCCTTAGCTTTAGAGGAAAGACACTCGCCAAAATTTTGCCAAAGAAAGGAGAGAGACCGGAAGGAGTGCTATTCAAAGAAGGTGGCCAATACATTTCGGTTATTTCCACAGGAACACAACTGAAGTGTCCAACTTTCATTTTCAGAGTGGAACTCCATGTTTCTAAGACTCCACCGTGAGAGACTTGAGATATCTCACAGCTTCAGCTAAAACGGTGACAGAATCCATTTGGTCACCGCCTCCAGGCACGATCCCTCCCAGTACCCTAATCATTCTCCTCATTCCCCAGTGCTTAATTTCGGGGTTGCTGCAGTGACCATGGATCCTAGAAGACTTTCGAACAGATGACGATGACCTTTTCTTTGATTTTGAGCCATAACTGGAGCAAGTGTCATAGACACTTTCATAATTTTCGTTAGCCCTCGCAGTGCTGACCTCTTCCTCATCATGGTCTTCTAGTTCCTTACCTTCCAAGCTCAACAATGCGTCAATGTCCTTAGAGTCCTCTTCAAAAGATGATAATTCTCCTTCAACAGGAGTAGCTTTGTTCTTGTCAGAGTCTCGATTATAGGTAGCATGACCATTCAAGGCGGGACCAGTACATTTGTTGGCCATCGCGGGATGGAACATAATTCTGCTTTGGTTATCAGTCTGATCAAAGATAATGAAATTCTTTGGGCAAACCTCAGAGGGTTGCAGTTCAACTCTTTCAAAGGGAGTTACCTGCCTGGCACCAGAAGGTAAAACTGCATCAAGGGCCGAAACAAGAGGAGCATGCAACTAAGTGTCAACTGCTTCAGGTGCCAAAGGGAGTACAAACTTCTCGGGGTAAAAATATTTGTGATTCTGCATGGTAAAGTTCGGCTCCCAATCAGTAAACCCCCGGCTAGTAATTCAGGCATGTCTTTCGCAACTGGCAATTATTCTATCTCAAAGCCGGACAGAAGTTGCTAAAGGAATGGAAAGAAAGAGAGTAGGTACTAAGCAGAGTGCATTTTCAAAAAGGATGGCCGCTTCCTCCAATCAGCACTTATCTCAATGATGCCAATACAAGGAAAATACTGCCTAAACCAACGACAACTGATTCTAGACTACGTAACAGGTTTTAGCAACTGACGGAAATACTCAGACTGCAAAGAAAAGGGCATATAACATCAATATGCAACAATAAAAGGGATTAAAAAAAGAAGTGGTCAAATTGTTGCAGAGACATCAAGTAAAACCAGTGCGGTTTATCTTAGACAGTGAGAATTGAATTTTAGTATTCAAACTAACAGCGGCTCAATTTGCACATCCAGAAGAAACTTAAACGTTGACATGATGTTATATGTTTCAGAACCTTATCCAACCATCACATGTTACTTTCTAAACCCATTATAGCAGAGAGATATCCAAGCTCGCTCAGCCTGTTAAAGTTCAAAAAATATGAAATACAGATGCTCCTTCCTCACAATATCGAATGCTGGCAGCCAAAAACATTTCCTAGCAAAAATTCTGATATACAAAATGTCATCTGCGACACAAACTTTGCAAAATCCATCCCCCCTTCGAAGCCCAATAAAAGGAAGTGGATGAATTATTCACCTGGCAAGCTTGCGTTAGTTGGTAGTGTGCGATGAACCCAACATTCATTTTAATCTGCCCAACTTCTGTCACAGCTCCGTTTCTCCTTCTTGCTACTGCAACATACGTCCTCAATCCTCCCCCACAATTTTAATAAAGAAAAAACGCTCAGAAAAAGCTCCTTCGCAATGCAATGAAGACCTTGCCTACAGCAGAAAGGAACCACATAAGAATTCAGAGGTGATGAGAAAGCAATATGCAACACAGGAAGAAGACGTAACGCTCCATATAATGGTCAGACTGTACGAAACAAGCCCCAATCATTTCATGGATTACTTGACAAAGACCAAATGATCCATAGACTGTTCCCGTCAAATCCCAGGAAGTTTTGTGATTTCAAATTTCAAACAACAGGCACAAGAATATAGTTCTGCATATTCAATGCCGTAAAATCCACCCTGTTTAAATTTACATTTTGAACATATGATTGGAGCTAAATCAAACGATAACCAAAACTTGCGATAAAAATAACTACAGCAGCAAATAAGCGGGAGCAATATCCCTGACCTGAATTAAATTACAGAATCACATGAAAGAACACCGCCAAGCCAACAAAGTTATTTTAATCCACAAATAAGGATGTCCACGGCATCTTGAGGCCCAATCCAGAATATCAGAATAAAAATCAATCCACTCTCCTGAAAGTAAAGACTTGATCAAAATACAAAAACCACTACCATGTAGAACAAATAAATGAAATGTACTTCACTCCCAAATTCAACTTCTAGAAAATACAATAAAAAAGATTTTTCCTTTGAAGAAGTACAATAATCATCCCAGTTTAGAATCAGCAGGCATTGTAAGTCAGAAAAGCAAAGCCCTCCCCAACAAGTTAAATGCAATCTTGGACAGATAATCGTGATTTGAAATTCAAACCCCTTAATGTAAACAATATTCTCATCAAGAATGGAGTCAAGTCCCAATATTTTCCTTAAAATTTTGACTCGAGACCATATCAGTTAACAAATTTCAGATTAAAAACCCTAGTCACCACTAAATGGAGCGACTTTCCTTAACAGAAAATTAAGTGCTCTGAAGAACCAATTATGGGGAAAACAACTTCGAAACAGCATAGATCTTCAAAGCCAGTAAAGTCCCAGCCAATAACATAAACAATTGCTTTCAATGATTTCATTAATTCGAACGAATTCTAATGAGAAGCTGGGTAACAAACTGAGTCACAAAGACACGAGCTTTCTGATGATGAGGAAGATCAGGCACACAAATTCCACTAGATTTTTACTGAAAGACGAAGCTCTAGAGAGAAAGGAAAGAAACACAGTGAGACACAGAGAGAGAAGTTCAGGTCAATGAATATGCTCGTAACTTTTTTCATGGTGCTTATAGGGATGGGTGCCAGATGAAGACCGACAGAAAGAGGAGTCAAACCAGGACGATGTTAGCCGTTGGATGGGATAAGGGCACGCCTATGGAAATGCTCTTCCGTGCATTGCGATTTGCTGATGTGATGATAACCGTTGGATTAGAGCACGTGTGATCATAGTGGGGCCCACGGGGTTTGACGATCGGGTACCGAGAAAAATAGACATTCCATCCCCACTAAATTTTTGTTTTTTGTGGAGTTCATGTCATGCTTTGATAAATTTCGAACAATTATTTTAAACTAATCATAAATGGTAATAATTTATAAGTTTTAATACTCTTTCAGTCTTCTTCGTTATGGATTCTTATTTACAAGAGAGCTTTAGAAGTATAATTTTGTTTCTGCATGCAAGAAACAATTAATCTTGGTCTATGTGGGCCAAACGCCAAAAAATTAACCTTTATCTAAAGCATTTATTATAACTTAACTCTGCCCTTATTAAAGAGGGAGAATATGATCTTATTAGTAAATTAATCAACTTGGTCAATTTTATTTGACTAAGTAAGAATATTGTCGAAGAAAGGTTACACATATTGCATTTCTAAGGTTTATATTGTAACTGAATTTACTTGAGTAAGTTAATTCATTTGGAAAGAATATATAAATTTCTTATGAATATTTTAATTTTAATTGTTAATTGTGATGGACTTCCCTTGTTCCCTTCTTTATATGTCTGGGTCACTCGCAATACAACACTTTGCTGGCAAAAAAAAAGACAACAATACAATACTTTGACTTTGATGGCGCGCATGGGGCATGCTCAATTTTATGTAATACAGAAAAAATTTTAAAAGTCAATTTTAGTTTTTTTATATTACTTTTTTTGCCAACTAGTTTTTTTTTCCACATAATCACAGGTTAGTATTTAATACTCCTCCGGTCCTTAATATAGGACCCAATTCTTGAGTTGGTTTTGGTCATAAATATAAGACCCATTTTCCATATTTATCAATTTTCTCTAAATTACCCCTATGAATACTCCCTCAACCATGATCAAATAGAAGAGGGAGATGAGGTATTAAGAAAGATGATTATGGTGTTTTAGGAAAAATGTGTCACTTTTCTTATACTTAACTAACTTACCTAACTTCCTTAATTTAATCAAATTAGTTAAATGGGTCTTATATTAAGGACCGGAGGAGTATTATTTATCTAAAGCTAATCATTATCAAAGTTACAATTAGGAATAAATCTTCTAATATAATTTTTTTATTGTCGAGTTCAAGCATTTAATTTTACTTAAGTGTGTCTTCATACTGGATTTCTTTTTTTTGGCCAACGCTTTATGCTCGACTCTTTCACTGTTATTTTGAATTTTACTTAAATTTAGAATCCATGAAGCTATAGATCGTGTCATCCCTCTTTCAATATATGTTTGTTCGATTATGTCATTTTTTATTATTGTCAAGTCCATCTAGAAATAGATATTTAAAGATTTTTTTTAACATTTATATGTACTCAAACTTAACACTTGGAACTTAAGTAGTCAAATTCTCTTCTATTAAGACCAACATCTTAATTTTATATCCAATTTAGTGCGGGCTGATTTTAAGTCTGTGAAACAGACATTTGAAAAACTAAACTAAAATTTGCCAAGTCGCTTTGATGTGCATCATAGAAAAGGCTTCTCATAGGTATTTTCTGTTTTACAAATTAAATCTGAAAATACAAATATCACTTAAGGCAAAATTCCATTTTGATTTTACTTTATGGGTGGGCCATATAATAATTTATTTTATTTTTGTATTTAAAATTTGAGCTTAATATACACTACAGAATATTTTAATAAAACTTTCTCATATATTTAACTTTAAATTTTGATAGCAATGTAGATCTTTTATTGCATTTTTAATTGTTATGTTTTTTTGACCAGACATTTTTAATTATTACTAACAACACGTTTACTAAGTATCAAATTTTTAACACCAAAATATACATATTATTAAATACCTCACTGTGATGTCAGATTTTGTAAATAATAATAAATAGCAATACTTCACACATAAAAAAAATTGAAAATGTCTCTATTCAAGAGGTATGAAAATTTTTTTTGGCAATATACAAGTTCCATATACAAAACTGAGCATCCAAATGTCCCAAACTGATCAGGATGTTATGGTTATTTTAATTTTCTCTTTTATTAATACGGAAAAATAATTTTTATCCCTCAAAATTATTATCAATTTGGCTCAAGGTTCTTTTATATATATATATATATATTTTCATTGAGAACCCAATCCTTAAAATTAAATTTTTTATTTTGACTTATAAAATGAAGAGAAACTAAATGCAAATTTAAAGTACAACTTATTATCTATCTATATCTATTGTGTTTTAACTCTTTTAAATACATATGTACTAATTGTTTTAAACTATTACATATTCAAAGCAGTGCATACGACTTTAAGAGAAGCAAAAGACAAAGCTTTTGTAAGCTCAGTAGCGAATTATGAGCCACTAACTTAAAAAGTCACTTTAATTATGTCTAAGAAAATTAATATCATAATCCTCTCTTGTTTTTTCTTTGACAAATGGATGAGCATATATATACGAAGCTTATTCATGCTTAAGGCCCCATAAAACGTCAATTTATAATGGTCGAGTGGAA